AATTAAAAAAAAAAAAAAAGAAGAAGAAAATTCAAAGCACTTTCTGATGAGATCATTAGTACAGATTACAACTCAACACACAGTAACAAAAATCCTCACAATTGGACCAATAGACAACATCACGATAAATAGAGAAAAAATTGAAGTTGTCTAGGATTTCATTTTACTTGGATCTACAGTCAACACCTATGAAAGCAGCAGTCAATAAATCAAACAATATATTGACTTGGACAAATCTGCTGCAAAAGACTTTTTTAAGTGTTTAAAAGCATAAATATCACTTTGAAGACATGGATGCACTCGACCCAAGCCATGATATTTTCAAAAGCCTAACATGCATGTGAAAACTTATCAATGAATAAGAAAGACTGCAGAAGAAATGATACATTTGAATCGTGGTGTTGCAAAGAATATTAAATGTACCAGGGACTGCTAGAAGAATGAACAAAATTGTCTTGGATGAAATGGAGCCTGAATGCTTCTGAGGAGAGACAATGGCCAGATCTCATCTCACATATTGCTCATGTTGTCAGAAGGGACCAGTCCCTGGAAAATGAAATTATGCTGAATCAAATAGAAAGTATCAGAGAAAAAGTAGAAGAATCTCAATGAGATGGATTGATACAGTGGCTGCAATGATTGGCTCTAATATGGGAATGATGGTGAGGATGGCATAGGACCAGGCATTTCTTTCTGTTGTACATAGGTTCACTATGAGTCAAAACCAATTTGATGGCACCTAACAACAACAGTCAACTTTTGTACAAAACATTTTTTTTTTTTTCACAACTAAAATGCTGATTAAAACCTACCTACTGCTATTGAGTCAATTCTACCTCATAGTGACCCTACTGGGTTTCTGAGATGATAACTCTTTACAGAAGTACATTGCCCTATCTTCCTCCCACAGAGCAGCTGGTGGGTTTGAACTGCTAACCTTCTGGTTAGCAGTCAAATGCCCTAGGCACTACACCACCAGAGCACCTTAAAAAGCTGATTGCAATATGTTTTTTCAATATGATCCTCAACTCAGACCCTGTAGTAAATGTTTCGATTAGAATTAATAATGCTCTTTTAAAAACAATTAGAGACACTAAGCACCTTTCAAATTTATCTTTTGCCATCAATACTACAACACATGGCATATTCCATACTTTCTCTCTTGACATTCAGGATTCTCAATTCCATGCTCTTTTGATTACCAAATTGAGTTCATTAGAGATTTTGCAACTCAACATTGCATGCTGTTGTTAATCAGAATTTCAGTCATTTTATAAATATCTTGTTAAATTTTTTGACAACTGCCCCCAAATGTTTCCAATATCACCAGTCCACTTCCTTTTGCAGATCTATCTTAATTTTGTTTAAATGTAATTTTACCTAATTCCTTTATAAAAGTTCAAGTGAGACCTCACACATTTGCTGGCAATGAAATGACTAACTCAAACAACCAACCACTTACATAGGAGAAAGATGAGGCCATCAAGAAAATAGTTAAATTAAGCAGCCATCTGTTTGACTGAATTGTCTGCTCAGCACATTAAAACAGTTGGTCCACTGGCTCTCTGGACAGTGAATGTATTTTATCACACCAAATATCAGATCATGCTACTATAAAATGAGATACAATGTTTTAAATCCAAGTATCACAGAAAA